GGGGGGGGGAGGAGGGGGGGGGGGGCAGGATTACGGGCGACGACATATTCGCGTTTTTAGATCGGTTTTTACCCAGAATGCAAATAGAAAAACCCGTCAGCGAAACGGTGACTGGGACTGACGAGTATATATTCCATTGAGGAAAAGTAAGTTTCACATTTGCTCAAAAGCCCCTTGGTGGTTGAAGAAAAATCCACATATAAACCGGAAAATACAATATATGAAAAAACACACTGAATGCTCTCTGGTATGAGAAGGTGGGCCGGATCCGGTATTGTTCAGGGGGCCGGACCAAATGAGGTGGCGGGCCGGATCCGGCCCGCGGGCCGTAGTTTGGGGACCCCTGCTGTAAGGTCACATGTGGGGGCTGGTGCCAATCTCCTGCATGCTGTGAGGGCTCACAGACAGAAACAACCATGTCTGCACCGACACATACCTAGAGGAAGTTTTAGATGTAGTTTTAGATTTACTGATACGCTATGGGTGTGTTTTTGAACTGTGGAGGAAGCTGGAGTACCTGAAGGGAAGCAGAAAAGAGGAAACCAGGAGCTTCCAGCTGCAAGGTAGCAGTACTACTGGCCATAACACAACACACTGTTCCTGTTAATTGGCGTGTTAGGATTGGAAACAATGACATTATATTTGAAAAAACAAAAACTGGAGGTCGTACACCTTGACGTTTCTCATATTGGTCACATGTCAATCAGAAATGTCTCTATAGTTTATTGGGATTTGGCTGCTGGAGTTATTAATCCTAGTCTTTTTACTGATTCATTTTGACAGTTCTTCATTGGAAAATAGCTCAAGTTCAGTCAGACTGCTTCTATGAGCTTTAATTTTAAGTCCTACCATGCATCTTAAATCTTCTGCAGCCTTTAGTTTGCTTTGCATTTACCTCCGTCTGTCTTCCCATTAACCCTCCACTGCCTTCAATCCCCATGTTGAACGTGGCAGAGGCACACAAAGTGTAAGTAAAAAATGTCTATTAGATTAGCCACTTTAATAGCTTTTGATAAATCTAAAAAATATACAAATTGTTTTTAAATCCATGTCATTTTTATGTTAAAATAAACATGCAAGCAGCTAATTTAGCTTGACTTTCACATACACAACAATATTAATATTACTGCTCGTTGTTTTTTGAGTGGTTGTATTTGATCGGTTAAATCACATATTTCTCTTACCTGATGAAATAGCAGCAGAAGATGAGGCTCAAGATGAAGACGAAGATGCCTGTCCCGAAGATGACCATGTAGATGTTGAGGGGCAGGTCCTGGAAGGTGATGGGCGGCATGGTGCACGACTTGTTAGAGTAAACCACTCCCAGACCACAGAAGCACCCTAAGCAAGGACAGAGAGAGGAGTAACAGAATTATTTACATATAGGTAAAAGATGACCTGTTATGCTTCCTTGAACAGGTTAGGATCGGTCTATGCAAAACATGCTCATTACATTTTTTGCATACAATCATTCTTAGGTAATGAGATGTTCTGCCTATTTTGAGCTCCTGTTAGAATGAACTGTTTTAGGGCCTCTTGTCACTTTAAATAAAAAAAAACTAAAAACATTTACACTCACGTGAAAATGGATGCAAACAGATTATATAACAGTAGATATTTGAAAAGCAGAAGTAGAGCCTCCTGCACAACCTACAAGAATGCAGCAAGTGGTTTCCGAATGGTACGTCGACAACCAAAAAACTTGTCTTTTCAAGCAGCCATTGTACAGCGCAGATAGCGGTAAAACCAGCTGACCAAAGATGCTGGACCTCCACTTTGGTGACCCGTCGAATGTGACTTAGAAATTGGGAGTTTTTTTGAAACGGCTTATTTTCCAGACACCAAAAAACAATAACCTATTGCCAAAAAACAGCTGAATGTCTTTTAAAGCTCTTTAAATGTTTTTAGAAGCCGTACAGATTCTAATGGAAGAAGAAAAACGTACAAAATGTGAATTTTTGCAACCCCGTTTATCCCAGTCAGTATCTGGTGACAGGGCTTGACTGGGGTTGCTAGGCAACGGCACAGGGCCAGTTAATTGTGACTCAACAATTGGGTTTTTGAAACAACTCATTTTCCAGATAACAAAAAAACATTAAGTTATTACCAAAAACAAAAAGGCTGTGTGGTTTTTCTCAGCGCTTGTTTTTAGAAGCAGTTGAGATCCGAATGGAAGTAAAAAAAAACACGCTTAAAGTAAATTTTGTATAATAGGTCCCCTTTAAAGAAGAATGTGCCTGAAAAAAAAACTGAATGCAAAGAATGTCCATAACAGACTTTGTTGTTTGAAATATAACTAACCACATGTGTTTAATTACAATGTTTCTCTGTCCAGACACCAAAAACATACGGTCAGAGCAGCATTTAAACTATTCTAAAAATAATGTCATAATTAATTTCTCATTCTTTGTTTTCATTCCTAGGGGCCATACTTTTCTTTCTTTTTTTCTTTTTTTTTTTGGTATTTGTGGTTTTATTATTGTTTGAAAAAGTTTTGCCATGTCCTGTTTTTGGTTTGTGACATTAGGGTTTTGCCACATCAGTTCGTTCCTTTGTGTTTAATTTCTTATTTTAATATTATTACTTCTTGTGGTCCTTTGTGCATTTTTGCTTTATTCACTTATGTTCCTCTGTTTCCCTGCTTTCATTCTGCCACAGCTGTTCCTCATCACCTCCAGTTAGCTCCTTCATTGTTCTGTTCCCCTGCCTCCGTATTTAAGCTTCTGGTTTTTGATTGTTCCTTACTGGATTCCTCAGTTACTCTGCCTCCGCTCTTCCTGCAATTCTCGCGTAAGTTCTTCTGTTATTTATTGATTAAATCAGGGTTTCCCCCAGAAAAATTGCTAATCCCGCAAAGACTGAATGTGACATTTCCTCTTGTCAAATTCACTTTAGATTTTTATTTGGATTTTTGCTGCTTCTTCACTCATTTTCAGAGGAATTTTTTTTTTTTACGCCTTTTGAACCTGACCTATGATTCATTCAAAGCTCTACTAAACTCCAGGAATAAAACACTGTTATGTCAACCTACATGATATTGACAAAAGGATTGGGTTGTCCCTCCAAATCATTAAATTCAGGTATTTCAACCACCTCTGTCACAACAGAAGTATAATGTAATCGGAAATTCTGACTTCCCAGTTTCTAAAAATCAACTGGAATGCCCTCCAAAGTCAGATTTCCCATTAGAAAGCTGGGAGAGGTTTGTAAAGTACACAAAAATTTTACCCAAGTATTTACTCAACTACTTCAACTAATTGTTACTCAAGTAAAAGTAAAAAGTAGCCATCCAAGAAATTACTCAAGTAAGAGTGAGTAAAAGGTTTACTCAAGTACTCAATAACTGATCAAATTATCAATAATTTGATATTTTTAAATGACATAATCAGATGGACAAAAACATAAAATTAAGTGGAAATTTTGATATTTTAAAGATGAAAATGACAGTAATTCATATAAGTAATAAAATGAGTCAGTGTCTTTCAATAAAAAATTTATGAAACTTAAAAAAAACTACAGGTTTGTGTCTAGTGAATTTTTAGCTAAAATGTGTTTGGTTTTCAGTCAGTGGGTAAAAAATCCAGAAATTTTACTCAAGTAAGAGCAGCGATACTTCATAATAACATTACTAAATTAAAGGTTAAAAAAATACAGCATAGCAAAAATACTACTAAAAGTACATTTTCTCAAAAAGATAACTTAAGTAAAAATAACTGAGTAAATGTAACTAGTTACTATCAAACTCTGTCAACTATAACCTGAAAAAATCAAAAGTGAAGACAATGAAAGATTAAAAAGACGTTTATAAGAACTAATGCAACCAATGTTTAAGGGCGCTGCCATGTTGAAATCCTGACTTTTTAACTAGAACACTGTTACTTTATGACTTCCCAGGTAACCCGAATGCATCACAACATCCATTTTCTAGGGAAGCCGTCTGCTTCTACAAACATTTGTGAAAGAATGGGTCACTCTCAAACGTTCAATTAATCCAGAAAGTACAGAAAGGAAGTTTCTGATTTTAAAGGGACAAAGCTGTATGAGTGCTTGCACTTGAAAATTAACAAGCAGTGCTCTTACCCTGAGAACAACCTCAAGTTTCCATAAGAGAGGAAAGGGGGAGGATAAACAAACGCAGAGAAAAAGGCAGCAAATTAAACAGTGAAGAACTACAGCAGTCGGTATCTGCATGAGGCTGATATTAGGGTCACGTTAACTTAGTGAGAGATAATGAGTCAGAGGCCGCTGAAATAAGTTTCCTTTGATTAGACTGAAGGCTGAGAAACTCTCCGGCTTTTCTGTCAACACATACAGCAGCTAATGCGTCTTATTAGCTCACCTTGCCTGAGAGGTAAGGCAGTAATCGGTGAAATCAGTCTGTGGCGTCTGATAAGAGATCTCCAGACTCCTGCTCCTAAAAACCGTCTCACAAGAGGCGTCCTCTGAGGTCGATCCTGTCCACAGTAACACCTTTACATAACGATTCTTTATTATGACTTTGGGGTTATTACGGTTTTATGTAACTCGGTTTAATAAGGACTTTTGCCTGAAAGAAAGAAACGTCTCCTCTGTAGGTGTGAACGCGGTCTCAGTTTTTATTTATTTTGATGGATGATGGAGAAGGAAGGCATGCAGATGGATAGGTGGATGCAGGATGGAGGAGGAAACTGCGTGACTACAAAGTCATTTACATACAAATCAGGTCTACAGCAAACACTGTAAGTCAGATACACAAACAAAAATTCTACAGTAAAACAAGATGTGTTTGTAAGCACATCAATGTTAGTTACTTCCTCCTGAAATCAGAGTATAAATTACAACGCTCTGTAGAGGAAAAGACTGCAAATAATAAAAAAACACAAATCCAAGCGAATAAAACCTGGAACCAATTAGAGCAGGGAGAAATAAACATGTTTCATTTTGGCTGGGATTAAGGCAGCAAGATATTAGACGTACTTGCAACATGACATAATGTTGGCGAATGTTTTGCTTGGGGTGCAGACACAAGCCTCAGTGAGAAATCAGTCCAGCTACTGGAAAAATATAAAATCTGGGGTCTGAAATAATTAATTAGATGAACTGATTAATGAAATAATCACCAGCTAATCTAGTAATCGATTGATCAGAGTATACAGACTGCGGTTTGCTGAAAGAACAACACAGTCAGAGCAGTAATTAAGACAAAACAGTACAAAAAATACTTAAATAATAATAATAAAACCCTCTGTATTTAAATATGTTCTACCTAGAACTCCTCAAGCAATAGCTTTGTTCAAATTCAAATTAAAATACCTTTTCCTGTCTTGGGCCTTTGTTTGATATCTAATTATTATTATAAGTCAAAAATAAATCAACGGTGTATTGATGTTCAGTCAAGCAGAAAGGTCTGAGCTTTTTCACGTGTTGATGCAGGAAGTATTTGTTTTAGCTGTTTATGCATCCTTTAAATCCCATCCTTTTCCAAACTGCACAGCCTCCATCCACACATCTCTACTCTGGCTTTTAAAAAACAAAGTTAAATAATGAGAAACACATGCTTCATTGTGAAATATCAGCTGCTTTAAGACAGTTCTGCTCGGGGAATATCCCTGAGGATATGACCTCAGCATCCCCACCCCAGGCTGGATGCACACGAGGATGTGAACATGCAAACAAACAGACGCGTCGACCTCGTTTTCTTCCATCACTCAGTCGATCTTTGGGCCTCACACAGAACATCTGAAGACACAGAGGCACACAAACGCCAAAGGACGGACTGAAGGATTTTGTGGCTCTTGTATTTATGTCAGTGCACAGATGAGGCCAGAAATCAGCTCTGAAGCTGCTGCAGACTCACACGCCAAATGTAGGTCATATTAGCAAAAGCTTTCATGCATCTTCATCAGGCAGTGACTAGCAGTGCAGGCAGATTTCTTTTGTTTGTTTTCTACCTCTGCATGTGTGGATATCAGACAGCTATGTGTAATATTTTGCTCTGGGTGGAGCCTTGCATGACCACTGACCTATATAACGTCTCTCTCATGAGGCGGCTCGTTGCCATGGCGCCGGGAGTAGCAGATGCAGAGCCAGGACGAAGGCTCTCGCGAGGGAAAGTTCTCATTTTGAGGACAAAGAAAATCTGTGTGAGACAGATTCCTGTGCTGTCATTTTTTATTATTTTTTTTAAGGGAGACTGGGAAGGCCCCTCTGTGATTTGGCGGAGCTGCGAAACACCTCGACGGAGGATGTTTCCCTGAGACGAGATGCCGGTGGGGGTTTGTCCTACATACGCCGATTTCACACAAAGCTGCCTCTGCTGCTGCCTGCGCTGAAGACAGAACTCCACATCAAATATTCAGCATTTCATACGAGAGGAAAAAATGCAAGCCAGTTCCTGCTGGTCTACAGGAGAAAGTCGAACTGGTCTACCAAATAAATTCAAACGACGACACGTGTGATAAATAAGTAGCAGGAGATAGTTGATAACATGGACAGGTTAAAGTTCATCAATGGAGATGAAGTTTTAAAGTGATACAGGTTCAACAGGGCTAAATCAATTCCTTCTAAATTGGAGAATTATTTATGGCAAAATCATATGCTACCTTAAGTTGTTATAAAAACTATGTTATATCAAATATGACTTAAAAGAAATTTGAATTTGTAATTTAGCGCCTTGCAATTGGCCTCCGTCTCTTTAAGAAGTCCCTGCTCTTTCTGACACTCACCTCATCACAACAATCCTTCTCCATTGTGCCGTTTACAGCACTCTTAGGAGCGTTGGACTCAGAAGAAGCTCCTGTGATGAGCTCAGCAGATGTGCAGTTCCACCATGTGTTTGCTAATTGCTGCAGGCTAGTCTGAAGGAGCTGAATGAGGGAGTCACAGGGGAGGCGTGCTCTGTGGGGGCGGAAGCTCGGCTGGAGACTGCAGCTCCGAAAAGGAGCTTTGTGTGAACAGGAGGCACCTTGATTCCCCCAAGCGTTTAGGCACCCCACGTTGGTTTCCATGGGAGATTGGAGGATTCCTCAAACATGCCTGAAAGAATCAAAGCAACACTCCTGGTACGTTTTTAATGTGGGAATAATATAATAACATGATGTAAAAGTAATTTTTATGTCACAGAGTGCTACCTTTTCCATGCAAGTCCTCTTTGTTGCTGCAGTTTCCAGCCGAGCTTCCACCTCACAGAGCCTCCCTTCCCCCACTCGGCTCCTCCAGACTAGCAGCAGCAGCAATTAGAAAACACATGGTGGAACTGGAAGTCTACTGAGTTTATCATAGGAACTGCTTTTCAGTCTAAAACTCCTGGTGTAAACAGCATCATGGCGGAGCATTGTTGTGATGATGTGCTGAAGGGAGACTATCGGAAGGAGCAGGACCTTCTTAAAGGGACAGAGGCCCAATTTTAAGGCGTCAAATTTTTTGTATGTACAGCATTTTTACAACTGACGGTAACATAGCTACTTAAGTGTGCTATAAAATGGCTCTATGAGCCTGAAAAAAAAAACATAACAATGCCCCTTTAATTATGTGAAAAACTGAAACCTCCTCATACCTGGATGCATAGAGTTCAGCTCTAATTTCCTGATACTGCTTCATTTTTCCAGCAGAGTGCCCCTGCATGTGCTGCTCTCTGTGTTTGCGGGTGTGCTATGAATAGCAGGGGAGTTGAGCCACACAAAGGGGGGAATTGTCTTTTGTCTCAGCACCAACCAACAATCCCCAGACAAGGCTGCTGCATTGAAACATGCAAAGCTAACGGGAAAAGACCTCCAATCCATCATCTCGACGAGCTCTAGCTGTCACAGTGGGGCACCAAAACATTTGCTGCAACAAACAGAGCCGAAATTAGAAGTTCTGCAAACTTTGTCACCACTCAGACACGCAGAGTGCCGCAAGCCCAGTGGTGAAAGTGATAGGTTGTAGTTAGAGCGAGTCAGTGTTAACAAGATTACCCTGAGATGTTGCAAAGAGAGCACAAAGACGGGCTTTGTGTGGATCCCCGCTGGAACAGCAGGGGATGAAAATAAAGGATCACATTGATTAAAGAGTTCTGTATCCTGCAAATCAATGCAAACATTAATTAAATTCATAGCAAAAATGTAATGAAAGTGACCTGATTTTGGAACAATGAACCATTTACTACATGATGGGACAGCACACAACTTACCATTTTATGATGCTTTTCTAATTAAAAATCATTATAAATGCTGTATAATCATACATGCAAATACATTTTATTTGCATACATGGGGCACAGAAATATTTAGTTTTATAATAATTAATTACTAGACTGCCTAATTAAATTGGAAACATCCCCAATGATCTAGGTCACAATAAATGTTGATTAAGTCAAATTAGGTCATATTTATACAATGAGATACCGCCTAGCAGTGTGTCTCTGGATGTAAATAACAATCACAATAAAGGCCAAGACAGACAACGGTGTAAATATAAACGAACACTCACCGTTACACCACTGAAACGGGTGCATCAATGCACCAGAGGGAGTCCTTGCCGCCGGGTTCGTGTTTACCAACAAGCCGCAGACGCCTGTGCGGATGAAAGCGCCCAGAAGGCCGGATGACAGCGGACCAGCTGGGTGAAAGGTGAACCAGACAATAGCACCTGATGAGGGGTCCTCAGAGGTGGGAAAAAACGCGTTTCTTTTTTACCAAATCCCGAAGCTTTGATGTGTTACATTGCTTGCGCGGATCTTCTCTGAAGAGTCAAGAAAAGCAGAAACGCTGAAGTGTTTATATATATTATTATTATTATTATTATTATTATTATTATTATTTCTTCATTTCTTTCTGGCTGCTGTGAGTCGGTTTTTATTAACAGGCGGCATGGCAGTGACCCAGTGGCGGCGGCAGCATCGATATGAGACGGGAAACTGGAGCGCTGGCTCTGTGCTTTTTGCTCCCGCCCCGACAGACGCCGCCGACGGGCGGGGAGTCCAATCCGCAGCCCGCCTGTCGGCGCGTTGTTGTGACGGGTGGACTGGGCTGGCTTTCAGGGGCGAATCAGCTAAAACAGGGGCCTCAGGGCACCAGAGGGTCCCCCTGGAATAATATCTCCAATTTTAAATGTTCTTTATGTTTAATTAAATCAGAGGTGGGTAGAGTAGCCAAAAATAGAACTCAAGCAAGAGTAGCGCTGCTTCAACATATTTCTACTCAAGTAAGAGTAAAACATAGCTTTTTAATTAATAATAATAATAATAATAATAATAATAATAATAATATCTACACTCCAAATCCGAGGTCATGGTCTTGAGTCAGAAAAGGGTAGAGTGCCTTCTCTGGGTCAGGGGAGTCGTCCTGCCTCAAGTGGAGGAGTTTAAGTATCTGGGGATCTTGTTCATGAATGAGGGAAGAAGGGAACAGGAGATCGACAGGCGGATTGGGGCAACGTCTGCGGTGAAGCCGGCGCTGTACCGCTCCGTCGTGGTAATACACGACGGACCGGAGAGAGCTGAGTCAAAAAGCGAAGTTCTCGATTTACCGGTCGATCTACGTTCCCACCCTCATCTATGGTCATGAGCTTTGGGTCATGACTGAAAGAACGAGATCCCGGATACAAGCAGCCGAAATGGCTTTCCTCTGCAGGGTGGCTGGGCTCTCCTTTGGAAATAGGGTGAGAAGCTCGGTCACCGGGAGGGTCTCAGAGTAGAGCCGCTGCTCCTCCACGTCGAGAGGACCCAGTTGAGGTGGCTCGGGCATCTGGTCAGGATGCCTCCTGGACGCCTCCCTGGTGAGGTGTTCTGGGCACGTCCCACCGGGAGGAGGCCCCGAGGAAGACCCAGGACACGCTGGAGGGACTATGTCTCTCGGCTGCCCTGGGAACGCCTTGGGGTTCCACTGGAGGAGCTGGAAGAAGTGGTTGGGGAAATGGAAGTCTGGGCCTCCTTTCTGAAGCTGCTGCCCCCGCGACCCTAAATGGATGGATGGATGGATGGATGGATGGATGGATGGATGGATGGATGGATGGATGGATGGATGGATGGATGGATGGATGGATGCATTTTATCTGTCAGCACCTTTCAAAACACCTTAGAGCACTTTACAACATTAAAAACACAAACAGCAAAAAGAAAAAATATTTTTTAAATGACAAAAATACAAAATAACTAAAAATTGTTTTGACACAAAGGATACTCAAGTACTGAGTAGCTGGTCATAAAATCTGATTTTATATTTTAAAATATATCACTAAACAAAACAACTATAAACTTATGTAATGTATATGTGATGTGCCAAACTTTATAAACTGCAAAAAAATAATACTTACAGTATATGTGTATGTGTCAGTAATATTGTAACTTCCAGTGACAATATAAATGTAATATATAATACATTTATTTTAATATATGACTATTGTCCTGTTTTATATTATTATTATTATTATTATTATTATTATATTTTATTGAGATCTGCAGACTCATTAACAGAAAATAGCATTGTTAACAGGTGTGAGTCTGTCTCATACATTTATGGTTAAATATGTTTATTCTTTCATCATTGAAGATATTTAAGTTGGATAGAGTATCCAGAAGTTTTGCTAAGAGTTTAGTAAGATTTGCAATAGTTCATAACAATATTACTCGAGTAAAAGTGAAAAGTACAGTGCAGTGAAACTACTCCTAAAAGTGCATTTTTTTTCCAAAACGTTGCTCCAGCAAATGTAATTGAGTAAATATAAGTTAATACCCATCTCTGAATTTAATTCAGTTTATTTGCATAGCACCATTACACTGCCAAAAATAATCTGAAGACACTTTAAATCCCAAAAATATGAATCATATCAAACCAATACAGTCCTATCATAAAGACACATTTAAATTCAGTTACATATTATTCCAATCTACATTTTAGTAATGTTAGATGCAATTATAAATCTTTTTTTTTTCTTTTACATATGTTATACGACATAAATCTGTTCACTGTTTCATGTTTTCTTCATCCAATTCCTGATTTAAGAAACAGGATAAAGAGTTTTCTTTCAATCAGCTGAGTCAACCATCAAACATATTTTTTGTCTGTATCTGGTTGTATTTGTTATTGAAATATTTAAGTGTTATAAAAAGAAACCTGGAGTCAATAGGAAAATTGACTACAGGAGTCAAATAATTTTTTAACAGCACTTCAAATTCATAACGAAAAATAACTTTTAATATCAATACTGGCATTAACATTCAATAATTTTTACTTTATTTGAAGATATAATTCATACAAAGTTATCAAGAAGGTGAAAAACTCTAAAATAAAATAAAATATCCAGCAATATATAACCTCAACTTTGCTGGAGTGGACATAAAGTGCTCTCTTTTTGAAATGCCCGTCTTCATAAATCCACAGTATCAATCACATTTATTTTAATCTTATCATGGCTTTAAATAATATTTTTTTAATGTTGCACTCAAATTCAAGCCACATCTTCACATTTCAAAAGGAAATGCAGGCATCTAGCAGGCTTTGGCATCCTCCAAAACCTAGAAGAAATAGACCTGCTCGTAGGCAGTAAAGTTTGAAGTGTAGACAGGAGTGAACTTGTAGATCAATGAGGCGTCTTCCTCCTCACGAGAGTCAAAATGATGGAAACTCTTCCGTCCTAAACAAAGCACAGATGATTAAAGGTGATACACAGTCGACGCTGTAACGAGAGGATAATTCTCACCTAACTCTTACCTTCATTGATAAAAAACTCAGCCAGCTGCGACGACAACTGAATGGCATAACTGGAGTGAGGGAAGCTAAAATTTCTGTTCCACTGAAAGCGGTTCACCTCGGGATGCCACTGCACTCCGTAGAACGGATACCTTTTACCTGGCAGGGCAGAGGAAACGAAAGGACGTTCCATCACCACCCGGCTCAAGAGAAACAGTCTAGTTTTTCACTTCCACACTCAAATAATCGAATAACCTTCAATGGTGGAGACGAACTGAGCTCCATTTTCAGCGACGTTCGTCGACAGCAGGGAGAAGAAACCACTCAGCTTCTCATTTTCCTGGAAAACCTGGAAGAACAGTTTCATTTTCCATTTAAGTTTTCAGCATTTCATCACATTGCAGCTGGAAACGCCAATGTATTTATGTAATAGACCAACACAAAGTAGTTTTTATTTGTGAAGCTGGAGGAAAACAGAAAATCTGAGAAGTGTGGCAAGCATAATTTTTATTTATTTTTTTTGCTCCAGTCACGGCTGCAGGTTTTTCAAACTTTCAGGTTATACTTTGAAAAATAGCTCAAGCTCACTTAGATGGATGGAGACGATTTGTGAACAGCAAGTCTTGCCACATATTCTTAATTGGCTAAAAGTTTGGACTTTGACTACTAGGCCATTGTAACTTTTGAGAATATGTGCTGATCTGAACTCTTCCTTTGTAACTGTGGTTGCATGTTTAGGGTAAATGTCTCAACTTTACGTAGACTAAACCCAAAATCAACTTTTTTTTATTTTTAAATAAGTTAATTAGGATTTTATCTTAATGTTTCTGTGCTAATTTTGATGATAGGGTCAGTCCTGAGGTTGAATCCTGGCTCAGGCAGTCGGATTTTCTCTGATCGTCCAGACAGTTTGCAAGAAAAACTACGTCTATGTCGTGATTAAAATGAAATTTTATCAGGTAAAATCAAGTTGTGTCATGTACTTTCAATAGAAAATATTTGCATGAAAAGTATGACGTATTTTTCTTTTAAGGGTAAAAACAATAAAAGAGGAAGATACCTGTACTGTCAGGCCATATTTGTGAAAATTGCCAGTCAGAGGTTCTTCTGTCAAGGCCTTTATTAACTCTTTAGAAAAACCTTGGAACATCCTGCTGGAGTGGGCCTCTGTAGGAATAAAAGCGTTAATTTAGAAACATGAAAATGCATCTATGTAATGTTTAAAACTAAAATGGAAGACGTTTAGATGCATACTGATGTCCTAATGTAAATGAAAAGTTATCAGACTGCAGACTTTCAGTATCTTTCTTCAGGATTCATTTGAACAAATCATGTCTTCTAACAACAATGATCAAAAATTGTCTCAAAAAACACTCTGTGTTGGGGAGGTAATTTAACTCACTAAAGTGTAAAAATATCAGCCGTTCCTGTTAAACTTCCCTCTGCTGACTCCAAGTGTTGGGATTCGCATCATGCATGTTGCAAAAAACATTAAGTTTAACAACAGTTTATAAACCTAAAAAACAATCCAAGCAATTAAAAGACGTCAGTGATGCCACAGAAAGGTTTCACCTGTGGTTAGGTTGAGGGGCAAAGCCACATTTCTAGCTGGAGTTGCTGAGAGCAGATTCTCTTCGGCCACCAGCACAGTGAGCAGCTGCATGCCCAGACAGGTTCCCCAGATGGGGAAGAAATCCCCTGCATCGTTGGCCTGGAACAAGAACACTTATTTTTACTTCCCTACGATCCAAAAACAAAAGAAACGTGAGAACAATGCACAACCTTTAAAGGCTGTTTATGAAATCTTTCTCACTTTGTGGCCAAAGAGCATTAATAGATTACTGACTGGGTCTAATACACAGAGTCAGCAAAGCAGATACAAATTAAGAAACACAAATAACTTCAAAAATGAATGATGACAAAGAAATGCAGAGCAGCAACTAAAGCACAAGTACTTGAAGTATACATGACTTAAAAGCATGCAAAGCTTTCTATCTAGATGCCCTAAATGAATGCAAAGAAACAGATTGGTAATGAAAAGGATGCAAAATGAGGGTGAAGACACACAAAAATTACAATTAACACAAAATGAAGAACAAATCACAGTCAGTGCTGAGAAAATTTTTAGGAATATTAACTAGAAAATGAAACATGATGCGTTGTACCCACCGTCAGAGCGAGTTTATAAAAAATCTTCGCCACCCTGGCAAAGTCTGAGGTCATCAAATCTACGGCTCCACCAATGAAAACCAGGCTGAACATCACAAAGAAATTAAAAATGGTCAATATTTTAATTAAATGTTCAATTGTTCTCCTGCAGAATAAAAAATATGTTGGGTTTTCTCACCCATTTATCTTCGTGAAGATGCTTTCATACTCCGCAGTAGAAAGAGTCAATCTGTAAAAAAAAACAGCACAGTCAGCGGTCATTTGATGTTTACACATTTTATAAACAGGAGCTTTCAGATATCATCACATTTTAAAAAATCATCAAACATTTATTATTTGTTTTTAGTGTATAGTTGAGAAATTTTCAATTGGACTTAGATTAGGGATTTGGAAAACATTCCAGAAGCTAAAATTTAACCATCCAAAATAAGTTAATCATGCGTCCAGGATTATTTTATATTATAAATAATTTATTAACTGACATTTAAGAAGAGTTATGAAGCCATTTCTAAGGCTGTGGGATGCCAGGGAGAGAGAGTTGTTCTAAACAAGTGGGGGAAACATGGAAAAGTTGTGAACTTTCCCAGGATTATCCACTAAAAATAGTCCAGGATCTCATCCAGCAGGTCACAAAAGAACCAAGAACAGCATCTAATAAGCTTTAGCTCCGTTGCTTCATTGCTGAGGTTCTGTTCTAAAGTCAGAACCACAGCTGAACAAAAATGACACCAAGTCTGTCTGCCTCTCAAACAAAAACTTAACGATCCCAAAGAATTTCAGTAAGACATTTTGTGCACTGAAGAGACAAAGATGGTGTGTGTACAAGCCTGCTTCAATAAGCACTAATCAATTTACCACAAGATAACACAAAACAAGCACGATTATTTGTTTTCCTCATGTGTCTCTTTCTACCAAAGACTGGATGACCTAAGGCTTTATCCACTTTATTTGTTGCTTTGTTTATTTACTTTGCATATTTAAAATGTTTTCTAGTTTTAGCGTTAAAAGATCGATAGAAATTAAGATTTATTGATCTTATATTATTTTAAAATGGTTTCAAGAACAACAATGTTACCATTTATCACAATAACTTCTTGGGCAATACGTCATCCAGGAAAACTTATCATCACAAGGCTACTTTCAAGTCCTCCTAGTCCACCTCTGAATGACTCTAAATTCAGAAACTGGAGTTTTTTGAAGCGGCCTAGTCAAAGTCTGGGATTAAATGCTACTAGGATGCTGAAGCCTGACTTTAAAAGAGCATTTACGCATGAAAACCCCCAGATGTGGCTAAATTGAACAATTTGCCAAGATGGGAGGACTAAACTTTCCCTACATGGAGGTAAATGACTGCAGTTGTCACAAACTGGATAGCAGTTGTTGCTGCAAAACAAGTTAAAATCAGGTACTACATTACTTTTTGACTAATCCATCCATGTATTGTGACATTGTCTTTTTCTGTAGGGTCACAGGGGGGAGTAGTGTTTTCTTCAGAAGCCATTAGCAACAAGAAAACACTCTCCATCACAAAATAAAAACGTTTAAAAAGAAATCTGCAAATAGAAAGTATTTTTCCCCCACAATGTTAAACCACTTCTTATCATCTTGTTGCCACTTTCTCAGGTAAAACCACCAGAGCCTCCAACCCACCTGATCGGCACCACTCTGCTTCCCCCCGACTCGATGTAGTTCACGTAAGAGTCGGGTATGTATGTCGCTCCAAAAGGTTTCATGACATCATCTGAGACCATCTGAGTCAAAACACCTGAGCACCAAAACAAAACACAAAAACAATCAAACGTGGCTGTGGCAAACTAATTTCACTGGGTTTCTTTTACACCCAAAACCCCTAAATAAAGTCTCTTACCAATCACTGGTCTGTCGTTCAGTTTCTCCTGTTTGAGATTAGCAGGCATGGCTTCATGGCAACAGATGAGGCAAATGGAAAACAGGAAGAAGGAGATAAAAAATCTTCGGCTGGGCATCTTCCCTCTGAACAATTCAGCAAAAAAGATTCTTACAAACCTGCCAGAGGGTTCAGTTTGTGATAATAGTAACTACAGACTTATATATGTAGAAGTAGAGGCGGATACACTCAGAAAGGGGAAGTGAGGAATTCCCTGCTTTGCATGTGATGTCTGTTTTACTGCACATGCCGGTCGGACAAGTTCACTGCTGACGTAAACACAAAATATCCTCCAGATGGCATGGAGTTTTTGAGAAATGTTTCATCCGTTGGTGTGGTAAACAGTCCAGGTTCATGCATCTCACATAGGGATCTGCAATTAAGGTTTTGAGACCTTGAAGAACTTGCTGCAGAAAATCAGAAAACGTGGTGTCAGACATGATCGTGCGTGTGAAAATGAAAGAAGTAGTTTAAGGCTGAGGCTTTGGACAAGCTGTTTCCGTTTCAGTGATTGCAGTAAGAGTCTGTGAAACTCCAAACTTATCCCAATGAAGCTGCTCAAGCATTTTGGAAAATCTGTGGCTTTTATGTGCATTTAAAAAACCTTCCCGCTTATAAAACCTGCACGAAAACATGACTTATTAGGCAACCTGTTCTGAAGTTCTTGGATTACATAACATTAGGGTACAACTTCTTACAGTTAGGAAACGTTGTTGGCCAATAAGAGCACAGTAAACTGCCAGTAAAGCAAGCTGGCTGAAATAACTTTAGCTGCTGTTGAAGTTAACACTGATAAAAGACCATCCTGGATCAATTAAAAGTGACCTATTACGCTGCCTTGAACAGGTTAACATAGGTATATACAAAACATATTCATTAAATTTTTTGCATAAAATCCTTCTTAGATAATGAGATGTTACTCTGGCTACTTTCAGAACTAGCTGTTTTAGAGTCTCCTGTCCCTTCAAACACAAATAAGCAAGCTGCTGCTGGCCACTCAACATTTACACTGACTGCAAACAGATGTGAAATTATACAACTGTACAACTTTGAAAAGCAGAAGCAGAGCCATCTGCACAACCCACAAAGATGCAGCAAGTAGTTTCTGGACGGTAAGTCAACAACAAAACACTTATCTTATTCATCAGCTATTGTACAGCAGATATAGAGGTAAAACCAGCTGACCAAATGTTCTGGAGCTTAGCTTGGGTTGCTAGGTAATGGGATGGACTTCACCGGGGTTGCTAGGTAACAGGTTGGGCTTACTGGGGTTGCTAGTTGAGGGGCAGTGCCTGCTTTTATGTGATGTTACATTCTGGAGGTTTTTCAAACGGCACATTAGTTATTTATAAAAATATTTATCTGCCCATTTACAGCTAATGTTTAACAACTTATGTTTCTTAAAAAAAAGTTTCTGGCAAACCAGGTCTCTGCACACTGTAAAACATTTGAGGGTGGTTTAACTTGAAAATGAAAGTCCACCTGCTGCCTTGAACATGCAACTTAAGTCAACAAGAAAATTATATTGGTTTAACTCAAAAATTAAAGTTCATGTAGTTGATTTAACAAGAAACAAGTTGTCTAAAACATTGTTTATTAAGTTGATACATTTTCAATTGTAAGTTTTAACTTAATGCTGCAATTTAAACCAAATAATTATTTCACAGTACTCCAGAAAAAACTGCCCTCACCTAGTTAAAGAGCATACATTTCTCTAGGCTTTTTAAAATGGTCTTAAAGAACCAGATATTATGGTTAATGTAAACTTCTGTATTTAATCAAACAAAAAGTATATAACCAAACATCCTCTAAAAATTCTCCCTCTTGTTATTCTGGCATTTAGAGAAGAGAAATAGTTTTTATACTCATCCCAAACAGGAAACGTTTGTCTGATTTTAATTCAGACAACTTCGTGGTCAAACTGTCTGTTTTTCTAAAGTCTCACTGATGAATGATGCATTCTGCAAGTAAGATACTGACTGCTTATAAAGACTAGTAGAACGCCGTTTCATAAAAACAGTATCACGTTTTCTGCGCTGATCATTTAAACGTTTTGCATATTTTCCCTGTTGCTTCACACTCTACATATTGATATTTTAAAAAGTGACAAAAACATGACATTTGAAAGTTTTGCCATAAAATCGATGACATGAGAAGATTTACTGTAGACATTAATTTATTTTTCAAAAACAACCTTTGACAACAGAACAAAAACATGAATTAAAACTGATCTAAAATAATCAGACGAATATTATGCTGGAGAATATGAACCACCAAATAATTAAAAGCTTTAATTAGATACTTCTTATATCAAAAAGAGTAACTGTTATAATTTGGTCAACATTTTTGTTTTATTTGGGTTCTAAGAGAAGCAATACACTAACAATCTGAGAGGGACTGGTTCACTCACTGCATAAAGTTGACTGATTTAGTTGACAGCATTTTGGTCTCCATGGCAACTGTAGCTTTTTTTTTTCTGACCCCAGATCAGATTTAGTAAAGGCCTTTAAAGAGGTCAGAGGAAACATTTAAAATTTATTTTGCTTTCAAAAACATCCAAGGGAATGTAATCTAAGTCTTAGAATAAAGCTGGGTGAATCTTTAATGATTTATAGGCTCATAAATTCAAGACTGGTGAGTTTTATTGATTCAATAGTCAAAGATTAAACCAATCTCACGGATGATAGCAAAATAAAAGGATTACAAGCTGATATTATAGAGCTGCAATACTATTTCTTGATATATGTTGAACTTTTTTGGGATCATGTCAGTAAAAAAACAAGGATCAAGTGTGAAACAAAGTTAATGTTTTTGTAAAATCCACTAACTGATGGTGGAAATGTCAGCTTCAGGCAACAGAAGAATAACAACAGACAATCTTTGATCAGTTTCTTCTCATAAGCACCTTTTAAAGAGTTTTTGTTTTTTAAAGAAATTATAATCCACCTTACTGAAAGCAGTAACATTTTTAGTGAACATCACTTTTTCTTTTGCAATAATGAAATTGTAAGGTGGGAAACCCTTAAGTCTGGGGGATGAAGCATCTGCATAAAGTGTTGAAACAAACCTATTTGAAGGAGATCAAAATCAACAGTAACCAAAAGTCTTTGAAACAGCACCAGTAAAACGGTTGGTACTTTCAGTCTCACATCACTCCATTAGAAGACACTGTCTGCCATCCAGATAAATGTCGATCACATCAGCTTTGTCCTGCAAAAACAAAGTGAAAACATTTGATTTCCTTCAGGTCATTTAAATTATTTTGTCGATTTTTACTTAAAAATTGCATACAGAAATTTATCTTTACTTCTGTCAGTAATGAGTGAAAAAATGTCTACTACCATCACAGGAATCTGTCACAGCGGCTGCTGAGCTTTGACCACTCACACCTGATCATCTTCACCTTGATCCCCAGCTGCTGCTATATAAGGACGGATCTTCCCCCTGCATGGCGTCAGATTGTTGTGAAACCCTCAGCGGTAACACTTTCAGGCCTGCTGTAGTAACTTGCGCTAACTGCCCAGTAACTAACCTGTCTGTCTCTTCCTTCTGCCTAGTTGCCTCTCCTGTCCCCGATCCTGACCCCCACCCCTGGTTTTGGACCTTCTGGCTTCGACCCCCTGTCTGTCTGACCCTGAGATCTGGAATTGCCACCCTGATTTGGATTCCCTGGTTCTGACCCTGGCCTGCCTGACCAAGAAACGGTTTATTTCCTATTAAACACCAGTTTTTGTATTTACTGTTCAGTCCCTGCGTCCATCAGTTCCTGAACGTGTCAGAATCAAATCCTTCCTTCCTATAATGTCTCACCAGCTCTCTGCATGTTTTCACTGGTATTTTATCAATTTACTTTTTTATATATATTTTTATTCTGTCCTTTAAGCCCTCATAAATTCATACTCTTTCCTCACAAAATACCTGAAGTTTATTAAAAAAACCAAGAAATTACATTTGTTTAACTGTTCACAGTTGTGAAGCTCAAAACGGAGATGTTTCTGCAACATAAATGGAGTCCACTTGTTGTAAATTCGGTTGATTTTTTAACTTCATTTGGAAGCAATAAAATTGACGTAATGCAAACCATCTAATCCTGACTGTCAACAAAACAAAACAAAAGATTAATCCAAACTTTAATCTACCAGGACTACAAATGGTTCCACATCTGGACAGAATCAGTAAGAAGAACATAATAAATCACATAAATAGAAACTAAATGAATTTTGCTGAGTTGCATGTGAAAGCTTCACGTTACTTAAGACAGGATGTGATTTAGCCAAACCTCCCCCACATTTCAAGCTTCCTTTCCTGGTTGGGCTGAAGTTTACCACTCCTCAGTCGCTTTAGTCGGATATTTCAACATAAACAGCAAATTACTAATAAGTGATTCTGTTCCAATTCAACATACAAATTTTTATTTCCAGATTAAGAAGCAGCCTTACCCTGGAGTCTGGCTATTTCTTTATGAATGTCTTCATAAACAGCAGCTAAAACCTCGTCCTTTGGCTTCAGACCATCCAGAAAAACTGCAAAAACAGCATAAGCATGCAGCACCTGCAATCTTAACATTTTTACAAACAGTGCAGCAGTTTGAGTTTTAAATAATGACAAGGTTAAGTGTAATAAAATCAGTACTATCATCATTAGAGAAGGGCAAGCTGCCGCTATCATAGAAGTAACTGTAATAATCAATATGTTACTCATGCCTAGTCATTATTAAAATTGTACAAGTCCATAATCTAAAGGCCATTCAACATTTTAGATGTCCTCTCACCAATTTCTGAAGTGATTCTCTCCATCTCCTCGCGGTTTTGAAGGTACATTGGCCACACGTATCCATCAAAGTAGTTTGGAGGGTCTGGAGGCGCATACACCCTCATGCTGCCAGGACAAAAACACAGAAACAGCTCTCAAATTAAGATTTCACTGAAAATCAGAGTGAAAGAAATAAAATGTTTTAAAAAATTACACTAATAATACCAAAAAAGAGAGATGAGTACCTTCGTCTCATCTTGCAGACGTCATAAGGTATTTCCAAAAAATATCTCATGTCAAACATCTCATTTAAAGGCCTGGAAGGAGAGAATATGAATAGTATGATTAAAGGACGGCTAGGAGAATTTAATGCTAATATAATATAATAGTATATAATAATATAATATTAGACTGTGAGATGCAACAGAATTAATGGTGACAAGAAACAGCAGATTAGTTATTCTACAAAACATTTTCTATGTAAATACAGGAGACAGAATTTCACAGTTTTAATGACTGAGATTATAAATTAAAAAATAAATGGAAAAACATCCATCCATCCATCCATCCATCCATCCATCCATCCATCCATCCATCCATCCATCCATCCATCCATCCATCCATCCATCCAGTATTTTGTACCTGTGGTTGAAAATGAGGAAACCTTCCACTATCAGAACGTAAAGTTCGTCATCGGTGGATGAATCTTTGGCTATCAGGCCCCGCTGCCTCAGGAACTCATGAGGGTCTTTTTTCCAGGAGCAAACCTCCTTCATCATCTCCTCCATGTGAAGAGCATCAAGCGCTTAAAGAGAACGCAGTTAGCATCATCTCCATTTCTCAGCTGAGACACAAATTCATTTCAATACACAATAAATGACCTGAAAATTCACTAAAATACCAGAAACAATGTTACCAGAAAAACTTTTTTAGGACGTAAAATAAAAAGAGTTGGTTTATAATTATAGAACCTTAATTTCAGTCAAAATCATCAAGTTAAATCACAGATAAAGCATTTGAACTTACTGTCATATTGCTTGAAGCCGTTACTGTCCACTGGTACAACAAAGTCATCCTGACAAGAATAAATACGTAACTGTAAATTATTATCTGTTGTGCCAGAAATTGCTAAAACACTAATATTATCTAAGGAAGCCTTCATGGTTTACTTTGAAATAAGTATCCTGAGCAATGATGCAGCTGTTGTGTATTTTCTGGTGAAGAAATTGGGAGAGGGTAGATTTTCCTCCATTGGTTACCCTGCGATTAAAGCAAATGGAAATTATAAAATAAAGAAACCTAACAGAAAATACCTACTTAAGAGTAGGTGTTTAGAATCGTAAAAAGTAAACAGGTCTTATCAGGCCTCACAGCCACATGGTTATCACAAAGTCTACTGATCCGTTGTCTTGTTGCTTCAGTTTCAAATATTTCTGCACATTTTTCTCTCCTGTTTTCACCTAGTTTGTATTTAGTGGTCACATCGGAAGCACTTTACAAAGTGAAACCTTGTAATTCAGTTATCAGTGGTTCCGTTTTTTTAGTAATGTGGTGTTTGCTGAGCAGCAATGCGTGAGGATTAAGACATTTACACATTAGTTTGCTGACAGCATTCAGATTTACTTACCCACCAACTCCAACAATTATAGTCTTCATTTGCAAAAGCTCACGGCAAAACTACTGATGTGTGTCTCTAGTTATAAGAAAATAACAAAAAAAAACTCACGTTTAACTAAGAAACAACCGCATTGTTTACCTACACAAACACAACCCTCCTCTCTGTCACTCGTTTCCGCCCAAGGACGCATGTGATTCGCTGAAGACGGTGTTACGTCACGCCCTGCTCATTGAAACAGAAAAAGTATGCTGTTGGATTAGCTGCCGATTTATGAAAATATATTTCAATTAAAATGTAAAATATGTTCTTAGTAGCACAATAAATACCTACAATAAAAACGTTATTAATATTAGTAACTGTTATTTTTATTAACTATATCTTTTACATAAATTAACATCAATGATTACAAAATATATATTTTAATTTTTATATAATAAAATTAAAATGTATATTATTTTCAATTGTTTATATTATTTGTAATTGTTTATAAATGTATGTAAAATACATAGTCAATAAAAATAACAGTTACTAATATTAATTAAAATATTTATTATTTTATTATCTTAATCTTATTACTTTTCTTTTATCATATTATTATTGTTTTACAGCTATTATTTCCGAGATTACTAACACTAAAAATAAAATCAATATCCTTGAAAATATTAATGTATATTAGTTGACCTAATACACAAAATACTAAATCAACATTAACTTTACAATATCTATCTATCTATCTATCTATCTATCTATCTATCTATTTATCTATCTATCTATCTATCTATCTATCTGTCAAAAGTTGTGCGCATGCGCTCGTCAAGTTTTCCGCTTAAGTTAACTTCCTCATTAGCAGCGTTAGCTTCAAAGTGATCCAGAGTTCAGCGTCGTCTCTGTCTGAACCATCATTTCTTTCGGTTAGTCTTCGAGCCTCACAGATGTCTAAGCCTCCTCCCAAGCCGGCCAAGCCAGGTAAGACTGCGTCTTCGGTGACTTTTGACTTAATTTTCCCCAAAAACTTTTCTTTCGGTGTCGTTTGGTACGTGGACAGTGCACCTTGTCTTGTTGAGTGGCTGACGCTAATGGGTGGAGGGTGCGCTTGTTAAGCTTGTCTGAAAGCTCGGGGTAGAAGACTTAAATGCAGTAATTAACTGCTTTATCTCGGGACATTCGGTAATATGACTTCATATTTAAGGAGGCTTTAGTTGGGTGTTTGCTGGCTGACCGGGGCACCAAGCTCTGAGGCCGCCGTCACTTCCCTATTTCCATCATCCATGCAGTAAGCAGCTTGCTGCCCCAGAGGTAGCTCCATTCAGATGGGTGTCTGTGTGGTCACACCTCTGTATTCTGATTGTCTTCATTCCAATGCAAAGAACGCGCTTTAAATCAGTGGATTTACTTGGAGGTCATTTTAAAACCTGTAAATAGTGTCTGCAGCAGCTACTGACATCATTGCATGACATCATGCATTGACATCCATTTTTCCTGCAACATTTGAATTTAAAAAATGCACGAAACTTCATGTTTTCAATGTTCTTTCATGCTAAATTATTTATCTTTTCTCTACATTCAAAATACTAAATCGGGCTTATTTAAAATGTCATCAGACCCAAATTTAATTAATGCATAAACTCTGATACTGCTTCTTTTGTGTGGATATGTAAAATGCTGTTAATTGATAAAAATCAATTTGTCCGCTCGATTGTTCTATAACTTTCTGTATTATTTGATCACTTATCAAAATTGCTGAAATTGCGCAGTTTATTCATATACATGGTAGGTGAGTGCAGTGCTGCGCCTTACCACTGGTAAAATAAAATCAATATCCTTGCACACTGAGTAATGTGCATTTCCACTTCTCTCTCTTAAATCGCCAGTGTTTACACGTATCCCATGCATTTTCTATGGAGATAAAAGATTACACTTTTCTTAGGAATATCATGAGGAAAAGATGGGCTCATTTTAGTCAATACTTAACAGTAACCTAGCTTTCTTTGATAAAAATAACACGGTATCAACATATGTATACATAATTTAAAGAAACATGTTTAAGACGAAATTAGAATGATTAATTGGACTGATCTTGACGAATTACTTATTGAAATAATCATCAAATAATCTAGTTGTTAACTGGAGTATACTCAAAATTAACACAGACCATAAATTAAGCCAAAACTGTTAATTTATATATACATCAACAGATCGGTCTAACGCTTTAATAAGTCGAAAAGACATGGTTGAGCTTTTCACATGTTGATGTTGCAAGTATTTATTTATTTTTAGCTGCAGATGCATCATTTTGCTGCAAATCATCATGTGTACACTAAAGGGATGCTGTTCAGGAAATTTAGGATTTAGGAAAATGATTATTTTCTCATTTAAAAAGGGAATTGAATGATTTATTTGCATCTTTTAATGTGTTTATATTATTGTATAAAATAGGCTTAAATTAAAAATTTGCAAAATGGGCCCATTTTTTTAATCTGATTTACACCAAATAATCAATAGAATAATGGATTACTGAAATAATCATTAGTTATAGCCATATGCTATGCTATTAAGTAATTCATACCTGCAGGATTTAATTCAAACTGGAATCAGAATCAAAAGTAAATGGACATCGAGTTCAAGAGTACAACAAGTTCAGAGAAGAAAATACAGTTGAAGTAAATTACAAGATTAAAAAGTTTTATGAGCATTTATGTCCTTTAATTCCTGAAAAAACTTAACAGAAAATAAGCCTAGAGGCCATAGCTTCATTACATTGTCATTACAGGTACAATATGGGGAACGAACTGCCCTGAAACCATCAGAAACACATTTTATGTTTCAGCTTTTTGGCTACAAATTAAAAGTGGAAGAAACTCACGACACACTATTGGCTTAGATATCTACTTACGGCAATAAAGCAGGGGTAAAAATCACCAAAAAACTGTATGTAGCCAATATATTTTTATTCTATTTGTAAATGCTTGTATTTATGTCATAAATTGTTCTTGTTGTCATTTTTGTTGTTTAATTTGATATCTGGATGTAATCTCAAGTGTCCCACACTTGTTTTTTGACACCAAGTTTGGTTACCAATGTTTTACAAAACCATAAATTTTGATTTTACAATAAGTAATCAATGAATTCACAGGATTAGACCCAGAATGAACAGAGGTGCATCTGATCAGAGGTAGCAACAAACTTTATGGCTCCACAGAAGGTTGTTTGGATTATGTTATCATGTCTCGTTCATCATATAACAGGTTAAATCAGGTGCTGTTTTTCTCTCTGTATCTGGTTGTGCAAAGAATTTGTATTTGGTTTTGTTCCCTTTTCTAGATTTCTGCTTTTTACTACATAATCTGACTATTAACTGTAATCCCGACTCATGACAAATGCCGCAGGATTTTGAGTGTTGAATTCAGATTTAACAAGACCAGGTGTGCAGATATCGCTTCAAATGGCTGGCATTTGGTTTGCAAGAATGAGATTTATTTTGCAAGTTGCCACAGGTTTCTAGCCAAACACAAATTCTTGTAGTTAGGAATTAAGAAATTAAACAGAACTCCTATTGTTGTTTTTTGTGACCTATGCAAAAACTCTTATTTTTCTCTTTTTGGTCCTGTTTTAGGTTATTTTCCACTTCAATCTGCTCTGTTGCAGAGGGTTTTAGATAAAGCCAGAGCCTGGCCTCCTGAGCTGAGGTATTTGTCTGTTTAAAATAACATGGCTGGGCCTGCAGAGTAGCAGACGTGAACAGAACTGGTGTTGTGTGGTGGTACAGACCCCTCCCCCTCAGTTTAACCTCTAAACACTGTGCATTTAAACATTCCAGGTGCTGAAATAAGATTTAAAATCTCCTAATAATCGTAAATGTATTCAAGCTTGTCAGTAATTAGATCACTATCTGACCTGTTGATTCATTTCCGTTTGTTACACAATGTGAGATTTCCTCATGTGTTCTCTGCATATGTCTGCTTGTATATTTACATAAGACACCACAGATGAAGTCTGCATTTTATTTTTACAGCTGACCCACTAAAGATAATAAATGCACATATAAAGAATGCATCTGTTTGTGGTTTTAAATCATGTCGTTGACCTAATCGGGGTGTGACACTTTTGAAAAGGAAGTCGGCTCAACATAGCAGCACATGGTGATGACGCCTCGCCAAAAGAAAGATGCAGATCTGTCCTTTTTGCTTGGTTGAAGAGTTCGACTCATTCTGGTCAAGCTGAGCTGAATCGGCGTCTCGTTATTTGTGTGCAACCCGGCGGCTCTGCTGTTTACTAAACTTTGAATTTCTGTTGTCAACGTGCAGCTCAGGGCGGTGCGACTTCAGGTTTAAGTGTTTAAAAATGCTTCTATAAGCTTTTTGTGGGTTTCTGAGCGACTTCTGAAGGTGGACCACAACCACCCGGGTTGCATTCTGCAGCAAAGCGAACACCAGGCCAGAGCAGGCCCAGAGGGAAGGTGCTGTTGCACAGTGACCCACTGTGTGTCTTTTTGTGCTGCATGTAGTAATAAGTGTGTTTTATTATTGGCTGCAGGAGAATCGCACCAATCTAATTTGTTGTTGCATGCAAGTATTTCACCATGTTGAAGCCAGCTGGGCTGCAGGAGTGAACTTGCACTGATTGTGCTGAGACTCCTTTGCGTGTCCTTGGTGTGTTTTTTCCATCATGGCTTCTGTTTTAACCCATCTAGCAGCTCCATGTTTCATTTAACAAACTGTTTTTATGTTCTTTTCCAGGCCAAGTGAAGGTGTTCAGAGCGTTGTTCACCTTCGATCCCAGAACGGTAAGAGCTGTCATTTAATTTCGGCAATATGTTTTGATTAATAGTGACAATTTCTCAATATAACGTATTAAAATGGAACTTGATTTGTAATATTAGTTATTTAATGTGTTTAGAGATCTACATTGATTCCTGTTGCAGAATACAGTAAATCATGGTTAATTATTGATGCAAAAAAATTTAGATTTATAGAAAATTATAGGATTTTTTTTTTACCCCGTAGTGCCTGAATGTATTCAAAAGTATTTTAAAAAAAGTGTTTCGCCTGAATTGTTTTTAACTGTGACCTGTTGCAATAACCAATTAATCACATGGTAAAGTAAAACGATCTTGATTCTGATATTGTTTGAAGGGCGATTTTGTTTAGACATCCTAATACTTATTATTTATTGCTTTTAGCTTTTTTTATTTTGGATATTTATGTTTTTTTTTCCCAGTTGTAATGTGGATTGTCATTTACAAAATTAAAGTTTATTGGTCTTTAAATTTGCCATTATCAGTATATCACTGGAAAGTAGTCTAAAAAACAACAATATTATTGTTTATTTCTGGGCAATTTATCATTACAGGCCTCCCTAGAATTAATATAAATGTTGATATGATGCTAATCAGTGACTTTAGGCTTATAAAGAATGGAATTATTTTGAATTACAATAAATATTTTTGATCAAGAAATGCTTTTCACAGTATTTCAAATATAGCCAAAATGCTTCAAAATCATGTTGCTGCATAGTCCCTGGGTCTTCAATCCCCTTATTAATCATAAGAAACTAAAATTTAAATCACATGTAAAATAATCATTTAAAGTTAAAGCTGCAAGCAGCCTCGAGCGGCCATCGCAGCCAAGTGGCGCTCTGCCCTATAGCCACCGCGGGGGAACCAGCACCGCCACCCGCCTGCCACCGCGGACGCTCTCGCGCAGTTGAAGCGCGCGTCCACCAGGCCATACGCGCCGATGAGTTCGGCATCGCTCCCTGACAACACACCAAAAATCTGTGCTTAAAACTTAACCTAATTTATTAAGTTTATATTTTACAACATGCTGCCTTCTTTGCAATTAAACAAACTGCAATTTACTTTTTTTTATGAGCTTCTTTGGTAACGAAGAAGAACATTAAATGTATATGAGGGGAAAAAAGTTCCCTTTCTGGGTAAAATCAGGTCAGTTAGACTTTTTTGGGAAAGTGGACAACTTAAAAAACAAAATGACAATTAACTTGCTGTTTACATAAAAATTAGGAGGGAAAAAACTCCTATATCCTATGTAAATGTCATATAAATGTTAGAACTCCTATATCTACCGTTTTGTTTTTTGTAATAAAATGATTATTCCCAATTTTAATATTTTTTTAATCTTTATCACCACCATGGAGGAGGTAAAGAGCCAGATGTGGTTCTGCAGATGTTTACCTTTTGCTCTTTGATTTCCAAAATGTTCCCAACATTTCCAAGGACCCATTTCAGTTTGCCATCCATTTCTCGGTGCATGTTAGTTTTTATGTAGTCTCTCAATTAATTTATCAATCAGGTGTTTAGCTATAAGAATTATTTTGTTTCTGCAGGATAGACTAAACAAAATTTGTGTTGAAATAGTTTTAAGCACAGGCTGGTAGATGAATTGAATGAAAACAAGTAGAGGTGAACTATTTAACAAATATCGACTGTAATCTGAACATCAACAAAAAATGACTGAAGTTAACTTGATTAAAATCGAAGGCAAAGTTGATGTTGACGTTAATCAGTGTGTCTAGGTGTGTCAGAGTAACAATGTGTTTTGTTTTTCAGCCAGATGAGTTGTACTTTGAAGAAGGAGACATTTTGTACATCTCAGACACGGTTGGTAAAAGTTGGGTTTTCTCTGCTGCCTTTCTCACAATCTTTAACTCTTCAGTTATTCTTCCTCTTTAATGTGAATCCTGCGACCTTTGCATGTTTTATTTTTTTCTCCTTGCTACATGTTATACATCCCTAAACGCATAACATGCTCCATCTTTATTTCACTTCTCCTTTTCATTTACTCTGTGCTCTTAAATTTGCTCTTTTTATTCTGCTTGTAAAAATGAATGTTTATTTCAGAGCGACTCTAATTGGTGGAAGGGGACATGTAGAGGGAGGACAGGACTAATTCCTAGTAACTATGGTGAGTAAAGGAAAGATAATCCAGAAATAACCTAATAATTTCACACAACAGTAGTCTTACATGATCTTGTTTTTCAGTTGCTGAGCAGGCAGAATCTATTGATAATCCAATGCATGAAGCAGCTAAACGAGGTACGACTGTCTCAGTATTTAAATCGTTTGATCTTTTAATATTTTCAAGCAGCCTTGACCTTTTAAACTGCTTATGCTTACCAACCTTTGTGTGTTTTCACTCATTTGTGTATAATCTCAGGTAATATGAGCTGGCTGAGGGAATGTCTGGACAACAAGGTTGGGATTAACGGGCTGGATAAAGCGGGAAACACTGCCCTCTACTGGGGATGCCACGGAGGACATAAAGGTAAGCAGTGAACGTCATGTTATTCATCTCTGATTGTGACACAGAACGTGCATTGTAACAAAAAGGACATTTTTTTTGGCCCTTCTTTGTTCATATTATCCTAAACATGTTCAATATGTTCTCTCTTTCCTGTCAGATGTGGTGGAGTTGTTGCTAAGCCAGCCCAACGTGGAGGTCAACCAGCAGGTGAGATGATTTTAAAAGCTCATTGGCAGCTTCACTCAAAGCTCGTTTGAACATTTGAAAACGGAAAACATTTTCAGAGCATAAAACCATAACCGAAGGTATTGGATGTCAATAACTTCTAGTAGAAAAGCATCAATATATGTGCAAAGTTTGATTTTTCTCCATCATTTGTCAAATACATAAAAAACTAAGATTCGGCATTGTTTGTGTACTTGTAAACCTTTCATCTAACATGATGTATCCATAATTTAAAAAAATATATAAACTTTGATGGGATGTAATGCTTTCATTTTCATTTTCTCTTATGTTGACTCTAAGACAGACTTTAAAGAAAACTAGAAAATGCATCTTGGAAATCAAATCAGTTTATCTCTTTTAACCATTTATATATAAATAACAAAATGAAATGTTATAAAACAAACTGAGTATATTTAATACATACTGAGAATCAAATTCCTACCAATGACATAAATCATAATGAAGAAAAAACCTAGATGAAAATATTAAAGTGTTTGGAAAATAGAGATTTAATTTAAAAGTTAATGCAAATAAAGTTGGCAAAGGTCAACTTGTCTTTTCAAGAAGTAACTGAATTTCTACACAAGGATAAATTTCTCACCATGTTGGAAAGAAAATTTCCCCAAAATAAACTATTCTATGATAAAGTCAACAAAAACTAGATTAAACCTAAGATGAGTAAACATGACTAAAATGTGACTAAATAAAAAAAAAGTCTGTCAATATTAACACTGTTTGAGTTTTTAATTCAATCTTCTATTAAGTTAAATTCCTGATTTGAATTAATATGATTAAAACGACTTTTTAAAATTAATTTACCACTAACTTCCAAGTTTAAACATGTCGTTAGTTTGTCACTGGTTGGGTGAATGGGTGTTAAATAGTGTCATAGTAGTTTAATGATCTTGTTTTTATATTTTAGAATAAACTGGGAGACACACCACTGCATGCTGCTGCCTGGAAGGGTTACTCTGACATCGTGGAAATGCTGCTTGCTAAAAGTTAGTTTCTCCTTTGATCTTAAATAGACACTGATATTTGAGAAATTATAAAGATTTGTCAAACTCATAAAATTTTGATTTCCTTCCAGTTTTCATTTTCTTTGTTTCTACTTCTCTGTAGTTTACTTCAGTGTCGATGTGTTTGTTTCAGATGCGAGGATAGACATCAAAAACAACGAGTGTAAACTGGCTGTCGAAATGGCCACCAACGCCCAGTGTGCTTCACTCATCAAAAGGAAGCTGGGAACCAGTAAGTTCTTCCTCGCGTACAGAACGACATGGACAGGGAACTGTAAATGAACTGTTTATTCACTTGCAGTCTACATTTTGGAAGCTTTTCTTTATTTATAAGGACTGATAAATATCAGAAATTCATCACGGTTTACAGAAAATATATATGATACAGGTTTGACTTTTTGGACTGAATTAACAGAATAAGTGAACTATTCTACACTTATAGGTTTGTTTCTTTTGTTACAGCCATCACCCGGACACATAGCAACGCTGAGGAGTATTTGGACGACGAGGACTCGGACTGAGCCGGCTCCGGCTCCGGCTCGGTCAGACCGTTTTCGCTGTTTTACATTGTTGGTTCTCTGGAGGTCGTGGAACTTTTAAGTTTTGTTTTTGTTGTTTTTCCTGCAAGTCTAAAATGGGATTATCTTTAACTGAAACTCCATTTTAGCTGAAATATTTTATTCAAACACTTCAGTTTCATGCTCTCTGCATATTGGCGGTGTGATTTTTAAAGCACTGCGTTCATCCCATCGACCGTCTGCTTTGCTGAGTTCATTTCCTGATGTAGGGAGCGTATTTTGGAGCATTAGAGGCAGACTCTGTGGGCTAAGGTGCAAAATGTACGTAGTGGGAGAGATGTGACCAAAGCTCTTCAGAGACGCGTCTTAAAACATGCAAATTATGTATTTATAATGGAGATTAAAGTGCCAGTGCAGATTCAGAGATTTATATGACGTCTATTTTGTTTCCGAGCTTTCCTTTCATTCCTGAACTCCTCAGTAGACCAAAGTGAATGAAACTGTTGCATCTTCCTGCTTCAAGGCAACTTAAACTGTTGCTGAAGCGAAGAAATCTGCCTTTAACTTTTATGATTAATTGGGTGTGTCTAAACCATTCTTGCATGGTAAGAATGTTTGTTTTTTATTTCCACTGGCAGCAAAGTCCTACTGTCAGTTCACTATAATTGAATAACATTCAGTTAAAGTAGCTGAAAAAGACTTGAGCTACTCTCTACTGCCTTTCCTAGATTTTGATGTTTGATTTCCAGCCTGGGAGAAAATATCCAGTCTATTGCTGCTTTTCTATCTGTATTTAACAAAATGCCTTAAATCTATGCAACAGAATATTTGTTTCTTTGGTTGAGTGTAATGTTGCTTATGTTTCACAATTTTGTCTTAAAACTGCAATAAAAATGTTAATATTCAGTCTTGCTTAATTGTCTTAGGCATTTTTGCAACAAATTCAATACAGTGTGCTATTAGCTGAAAAAACCTTTTTTCCTTTTTGTCGTGAAATTAAATCTACAATTCACATGTAGGTAAATTGGGGAAAAAAAGAAAAACATGAGTTCAGTTTCAAGACATTGTTTATTAAAAAGTCAGCATTTTGACATTCCCAAAAAAAGGCAGAAAGGGCAAACTTATGTAAAGACAGAAAATACAGCAAGTCAATGAAAGATTCAAGCTACATAACGGCCACACCGGAGGGGAGAAAAGCAAGTTGAAGCAGATAAACTTTCTGAAATAAATGTCCTTTCTCCAGTTTTACATTTAACCACCAAGTTATTGTACTAGCAGAAATTAAATCTTCCTTTTCACTGAACAAAATACCCAACATTAACAAAAGTAAAATAAATTTTTTCTTAATTTGCTGGTATGACGTAGGAGAGCAGCATTTGTTCATGACTTCCAGTTGGGATGGTGACTACAATTTAAATTAAATCAAAACTTCAATCAAAAGAGAACAGTTGTGAAAGGTCTGCAGCAGGAACGATCCAATTATTGGTAACACTGAGCAAACAGCAGGGTACATAGTTTCTTAGAACTGCATGTTTCCATTGTGGTTTTCAACTTAAACAATAGTACACATGCCTTTACAAAAACACATATTCTGCCCTGCAGCACAGATGATAGGTAATGTGTAACGTATGTAATCTAAATCAAAATGAGCAGAGTGTGATGAAGTGCATCATAACCTAAGTTTTAAATTAATTTAGCAAAAAATACTAAACTCTTTAATAATAAAGACAACCTCAACTCCACAACTGTCCGCTGAAACCTGAAAATGGCGATACTTTTCCAAATGGCCGTTGCTAACTGGCTAGCATAAATAGCTAATTTAGCTCAAATTGATACTGAGCTTCAGCATCCCGGACGGCGTACTTGGGACAAAAACAGATGTAGTTAAAGTTGATACATTTAGATCGAAATGCTTGTACAAGTGACTGTCTTTCAGTGTAAGCTTTCAATAAAGATGAAATAATTTGCAATAATGTTGGCGGCATGTCTTTCCGACGCTGATGTTAGAAATACCATATAGTTTATGCTAAGCTAAATTGGCAAACTGCTATTCACTACCGTAATACATCGTTTTGCATGAAGTAACGCTTTTTTTATGTGTCAAGAAATTTAAATATTTCTAAAGTTTTTTTAATATACAGGATATAATTAGGGCACCTGAAAAAAATTGACTTTATTCTCAAAATCCTGAGTCAGAAAAAGTCAGAATTCAGACTATATTAATTTTTTTTAATTTTGCACTCCCAGACAATGTTCATAGGGGTAGGCAGATCAGGCAAGTTAAAATTATACACACTAATTTTTGTATTATATGTTTTTGTTTTGTTTTTTTGTTAAAGAAGAAGAAGAATCACATTTTATGTTTTTACTTTAGATTACTTTTGTCAGCAAGTGTCCATGTCCTGGACAACTCCAACACTGAAGCTGGTTGCTCCCAGTTATCCATCTGCATTAAAGTTTGAATTGTTAATTTTTTTTTGTGGCTCTAACTGTTTTCTGTAAATCTGACTATGCATGCTGCTAGTTTATTATGAGAAGATGAAAACATTTTATTATAGTCTTGTCATGAGTTCTGTGAAAACTGGAGAAATAATTTGATAAAGGTGAATTTATTGGAACGAACTACCTCTTTCAACAAGGCACTGAATACATTTAAATAATCTGCAATATAATTAGGAGGCATTTTTTTTAGCAAGCTTTTGTCTTTCAGCTTGGGATTCTGTCTAAAATAACTTCCAAACTATCTTGGGAAAATTTAAACAACAGCTCATCTGTAAATACCAAAATACAACATAAGACTCTTTGTGCCACTTTTAAAAAGATCATTAAATTGCTCAACATCCTTGAAGTAAAAGTGGCTTCTTTTTAAACTAAAACAAATCCTGTGTTTTGTTTTCCTCGGAAATAATGTCAGATATGACTGCAGCACAAAAGTATAAGGATTTAATTCAGCCCAGTCAATAATATGTTTATTAGAACTTAAAAGGTGAAAATAACCAACAGAAAAGAAAGGTTACACACAGACGAATGAAATGAAGCGCAGAGTGGGAGTAATACTGACGGATCTCATTGTGAAAATCCATGTGATCTGAACACAGAATAAACGATTGCCTTATTGCACATGGTCTAAAAAGCGTCAAGTTCTGAAACCAAAACCCAGACTTCCCTACTGTGTTTCAAGAAATCATTTTCTTCAAGTGACAACCTCTTTTGCAGGAAAAGAAAGTCAAGACACGAACCGTGCAGATTTGAGTTCCAGCAGATGCCGATTTGCATCTAAGCAGTTTGAATAGTTCAGTTTCACAGATCAAAAATTAATCAAAAGAAATGCATCGAGGACATTTCTGACTCAAGGATGAAATATAGCAATGGAAAATTTCGGTTGTCAAACTTGTCCAGACCTTCCTCCAGCTGACACTAGACACTACAGCTGGACATTTAGTTTACATTTCTCAAGAGGCGAAATGTAAACAAAAACACCACCATACCGACACGGTGGTGGCAATATCATGATGTGGGGTTATTTTTCTTTAGCTGAAACTCGGACAGTTGTCTTATTTGAGCAGGAGTCCAGAATCCGCCGTCTTTCCTGTAGATCGGTGTCTTGACAAACGTTTTGATAACTTTTGCAAAGTATTAAGAAATGAAACGTACATGTTGTTGTAGCTTTGTTATTTTGGCACTCGCTTGTTTTTAAGCAGCTAACCTGTACATGTTAAACGTAAGGTCAAAGGTCGTCTTGGTCTCATCTTCTACATCACAGAAGCTGGCGTTTTAACAGCAAGTGAATAACTTTCAGATCCACCGCAGGTGAAATAATTTCTCTTCAGAAGCGTCGAGTATTCAGTAGTGTTTTCCAAAAGGCTGAGGCAACTTTAACGTTTGAATAATAATAATAATAATAATAAAAAAAGGCTCTGAATGGTCAGTTGTAAAAATCACTTTCTTATCCCATGAAGGCAGAGCTCAACCTGTCCAATCCTTCACATTTGTGATGCAACACGAGCATTTCTGTTACCAGAGTCACTGATTTACAACGAAAGGCAAACCTTTGGTCTCATGTGGCTTAGATTTCATCAACAAACAAACAAAAAAAAACTTTTTTCCACTAATTACAACAAAAGGAAGTTTGTTTTTTTTTTACTCTGATTTTAGTCAGCTGATGTTTTAAATGGGTGCATGTTTCTGCTGTGACACTTTCTTTTGACTCAATTCCTCATTTCTGCTTGTCCTACATATTTAGAATGTCAAAAAGGTTTGATAAGAAAAAATTAAAATGAAACAATGGCTGTTATGTTTATATGCCTGCAGGCAGAGTGGAAGAACAAAGGTCACGTCATAGACAGCTTCTCTAAACTTTAGAGCCACTATCGAGCTACAAGAAAGATATAAAATCTTGGAATTTTCAGTTTAAATAAATAAAACTCTTACAATGAGTATAATTAAAGAAGAGAAAGAAATAATTGGGATAAAACAAGACATCTTCGACGAGCAGCTAATAAAAATTCCCTCCCAAAAAATAATTTCTTTCATCTTTTTTAGTAAAAATGAAAATATATTTTTTTTCCACATTCTTTGCAATTGTCCATTTGTTTTTTAAAAAATGAAAGTAGCAACAAATCCTTTGAAATATATATACAGCTGTACAGTAGCTCTTCCAGTATAGCTCAACAATAGGTTTTACAAATGAAATTATGGAGGCAATAAAAAATAAAAAATAAAAAAAAACCTGCACATCATTTGACATAAAACAGTCTTTACAGATATGGATTAAAAAGAGTCTCAATAAACAATAAAATAAAATTTAAAAAAAAAAGATAGAAAGTCAGCGTTGGCTAATGGGAATCTTGAAGATTTGTCTTTTCTTCAATGGCCTGTTTCACTATTTCAGCCAACTTCAAGCGGTCAACTTTATCGGAAAAAGATCGCCCTGCAATAAAAACATTGGAGTTAAAGCCTTGATAACCACACAAATTATAGCTAAAATTGAGAAACATTTAATGGTTTTAATTGAGTAATTTGAAGAACTACAGGCAGCTCTGGTCCTTTTATTTCATCTATATCCTTTGGGGTTCAAAGCACAGAAGTAATAAGAAACATCTGATGGGGTTTGACTTAATTTAGACTTTATCACGAGTTAGTTATTTTTTTTTTTAAATTGTTGCCAGAGGGGTCTGAAAAGACGCTACGTTTAGCAAGAAAGTGGATAAGTTGATATTAGAATAAAAGGATGAGAGTCATATCTTTATCTTTGAGTTTATGGGGAATTTTTCTACAGCAGTCAGGCTATAAATCTGAAATCTGCAGCAACTTCTGACTGATGGATGGAAGGACGGACAATAAGAGGAAAGAATCAGCTGCTTGTCAGTCTCAAGATGGATATAATGTTTAGACAATCAAAGGCAGAATACATAAATATTTTTTCTAGTCTATATTTTTTTCTGCACTCAGTGCTACTTGATACCCTATTGGCTGACGCTTGCAAAGCAGCCAATCAAGGATCGGCATTCGTTTTGCTTGGTGTTAATTGGCTGTTCCCTCAAGAGTAGAAATAAGTAGACTGTATCACTTTAAAAATCTGTGCAAATAAGATAAATCTATTAAAAAAATACTTAATTATTAGACATGAGATAATTATATTCAGTTTTTTTATCAACAGATTAAAGAGGAAAGAGGAGTTGTAGGAATAAAGCTGAATACAGACCATCCCAGCTGAGACCCTGCAGGCCGTCTCTCAGCAGCTTACAGTCTCTGTTGAACCTCCAGGCTTCGTGCATCACCTCATTCAGCTTCTCATCCTCGTTTTCTCCTGGAACGTTTGACATAGAATCACATATAAACTGCAGCGTATCATTTTTACTCGTTTCATTTGTTTCAGGATGCGTTACCATCAGCACCCTTGAAAAGTCAGACACCAAAATGCAGAGATCTGAGTGCTTGGATGTGCAGAAACTCACCAGCCTGTGGGAGTATGCACTGTGCTATGACATCTCTCAGTTTTTCCAGCGCTACGTTCGAGTCTTCCCCTCCGTTCTCTGGGTCATGGATGAAGAAACTGTCTGTGGGTTTGGGGCTGAGAGATTAAGAACAGTCACCACAAAGAGAAAGTTTACAACATTCTCCATCCAGTCATGCAAAGTAAAACATAAAAGTGAACCCCATGTTTCAGCAGGCTGCCGTTAGCAGTAATAACTTGTTTTCTTCTGTGGGAAGTTTGAATCCAGAGAAATACTAACATAAAATATTTCAAATTTGTAGTCAAGATTGAAAACAGGAAGCTTACTTTAATGTCTAATTTGAAATATTCTGATTTACGACACAAGTGACAACTTGGTTATATTTGTAGTCAGACTTCCGGGACAATTGAACATTTAAGAACTGATAATTTTGCTATTTTGGAACTTATAGTGTATTCTTTGTTTATATATTGACTGTAGATTACAAAAAAAAAGTCTAAAATGAATTGCAAATACATTAAGTTAGAATAGTTAAATAGATTACATTACATATTACACTTCAGTTCTTACTAAGGCAAAAATGCATAACTCAACGTTTGATGGAACATTGAGTTATGCATGTTAGAGTCAAAGGGAGCTGGTGATGCATTCCTTTTCTCAGAGGAAGGAAAATGAAATTTTAAAGTCTTAGGTACAACAGAGTCGATTTCTTTTATTAATCACTTTTTTGCCTTAAGTGTGTATTCAGATTAAATGGGACGACCAAAAAGCAAACTTTGTGCAACGATTAAACTTAATGCAGTAAGTGAGTAAGTCTCTCCATCAGTAACACTCTAGCGATACGATTACAGAGGGAATCGTTTCAACCGTCACGGCCGTACCCCAGCAGTTTCCGCTTCCTGAGGATTGGGTTGTTGACAGAGTTCAGAGGCTTCAGGCTGACGTTCAGGTCCTGAATCCTCATGTTGGCGAGCTGCTCGGCGTGGGCCTGCTGGATTCCCGCGACCACGGCCTGCACAGAGAGAGATCAGAGCCACGATTAGAGCCGTCAGGTCTCAATCGAAGCGCTCTCCCTTGTGACGACAGAAAGCTGTGCCTGCCCGTTTCCCCAGCCATGTTTCGCTCTGCTGAAGGTGAGTTTAGAGACAAAGGTCGACGAAAGAGAGGAACTGTACTTTGCAAACCTGCTCATCAACTCCTCTGATGGCAACAGCATCATCATCACTTAAAAGACACTGAAAAACATTAATGGAGATCCCAGGTTTAGATCGAAGCGTAACCGTGCGTTACACTTTTCCTCTCCAATTGATTATATAAGGCAAACCTGCAAACTGATCTTCACACACTCTCCATTCAATCTGACTGAGTTTGAGCTGTCGCAAAAACCAGGGCATGACTGGAAATAAATGCATGCCACACTTTAAGGTTTTAACCGCATGAAGCCGTTATATGCCTTTTTGTCTTTCACACATTTTGAATATTCATTGATTATTATCTGTACAGCACCTTGCCACAGCTACTGTTGGTTTAAAGTGACTTATAAATCAAGTAGTAAAACAAAAATCCATCTATTGTTAGAACTGTCACAATAAGAGATTTTACGGGATGATAAATTGTCCCAGTAATTACTGTAATAAATAATAATATTGTTGATTTGAGATCATTTTTAAGTCGCCCTTTCCAAGACTAATAAACTTTTATTTTGTCAAGAACACTAGACACTCTAACTGGAAGATATTTTAAAGATCTAAAGTAAAATACAACAACCAAAAACAGTGAACAGAAATAAAAACACTCAGCTGAAATCTTAAATAAAACGATCATGAAGCTCTGCAAACAAAATTGATCTTCAAAAATTATTAATCTTCAGAAAGGAAATCGTCAAGCTCATTTTAATGTATATTACAATAAATTCATTAATTGCTTATAGCGACAGGCTCATGTATCATTTTTCTTTAATTTCAAAATCCTGCACAAATACATAATGTGCAGTTTGGGGTTGTAGACTGGGCTGCATGAACATTTCAGCAAGGCACTCCACCAACTAAAACAGTGATGCTGCATTGCCCGAAACGTTCCGGCCACTGCAGCTTCTAACTCGCCTTGTCCATCATCATCTGTGCAGACGGCAAGACGTTGTCCAGCGCCTCGGTGCAGTTCAGCCAGGGGTGAGCCAGGACTCCCTCAATAGTTAGCCTCTCCTCTGGCTTTACCTTCAGTAGCCTGCACACACAAAGCAGAGAGAAGAGGTGAAAATGAGTGAAAAAGCAGACAAATGGGCAAATATAGTCATTCTGGAAAAGTCAGCATGAGGAAGAAGAGGTTGGACTTTTTCTGTTTTTTTTTTATTATTATTATATATATATATAATACCCCGCCTCTCGCCCGGAACGTTAGCTGGAGATAGGCACCAGCAACCCTCCCGACCCCACTGAGGGACAAGGGTGTTCAGAAAATGGATGGATGGATGGATATATATAATATATATAAAAGTCTTACTTGCGTACAATGTCCTTGGCCATCTCAGAGATCTGGCTCCACTCGTCTTCTGGGAAATCAAAGCTGCCCGTCATAATCTTCTTCCTCATGTCCTTAGGGATGGTGCGGCTGTGGTGCTTTGAGTAGAACGGAGGATAGCCGCACAGCATTATGTAGATGATCACACCCAGCGACCACAAGTCACAGCTCTGCAGAAACAGACAATAAGTTTTTCTTTCAGTGTGCACTGGCAACAATAAATGTACAAAAAAATAAAACCAGAGATCTCTGCACAGCTCTTCAACAGGAGATATAAGTCCGTATTTATATTATGTATTAGTTTAGTTTTTTTTTATACCATCTATAACAGTGTTTCTCAACCCTGATCCTCACCGCCCCCCTGTCCTGCATGTTTTAGGTATTTCCCTTCTGCTACACACCTGAATTGTATCTCTGGGTGATTAACATGCTTCTGCAGCACTTGATGGTCATGCAATAATTTGAATCAGCTGGTCTGGAGTAGAGGCACATCTAAAACATGCAGAGCAGGGGGTCGCTGAGAACCAGGGTTGAGAAACACTGATCTATAACTAGTAGCTTGTTTTATAGATGCAATAATTTAAGACAGATTTTGATCCTGAATGTAAAGAAGGTTTACTCTGCAAAAGCAGCATCCAAAAATGACTGAGTTTTTCTTGCAAATATTTCTAAGTTTATTTTCCCATCAAAACCTAAACACTGATTGGATTTACACTGCATGCTTTTAGTCTATACTCAGCTGAAGTGAGTCTCACCTTGTTATATGTGTAAGGAGTTGGTGAGGTAGGTATAATTCCAGACTTTTCCTTCTGGTGTCTTCTTTGAGCCTCAAGTACCTGAACAGAAAATCAGTTATGCATCTATCAATTATTTAAACTAAAAAACTGAAATAATTTTTTTGCCCGTTTTGTACCTGAGGTGCTACGTAGTAAGGAGTAAACTGAGGGGTCGTCAAGTCTCCTTGATCGATTTTGGCAAAGCCAAAGTCACACAACTTCACAGGTGCGTCCTGCAGGGCAGAAAAGGAAAGAAAAAGTTCTTATACAATACGTCTCAAATGCTTTAATATTAATAAATCAATCAATAAATCAATCACAAATTGATTGCAGAAAGTGGAGAGGAATAATAAAAATAAATTCCTTCAACTTTGACAATTATACAGCTTTCAGTTTCTGAACTTGTGTGCTCCACAAAAAGTTCACTAAACGATTTCCATGTCGAGAGGGATAAAGGAATGGATGGAAAGATACACAGATTGACTCAAATATGGATGGATAATAGTTTTACACAATGGAAAATTTAACATTATGTGAAAACAGAAGTGGCCGACAGGAGCAAATGTGCAAAAAAAACAGCAAAATGTGCTGTTTTTTGCACATTTTCCATCTGTTGGTCACAGTCTTCCATCCATTCTTCTTCCCAATCACCACCCAATCTAAACTCTTTTTCTTCTTTTTTTTTCCTGAATTATTCCAAACTTTTCCATCCAGTGTAGAAACCTTGGACATTTCCAAACAGCTTCGATGTGAATGCAGCTTACCAGAGAGTTATCTTTGAAGAGTAGGTTCTCTGGCTTCAGGTCACGATGTGCAATATTCAGGGAGTGACAATGAGCCAATGCTTGGCTGATCTACAGTGGGACGACACACAATCCACACACAGACGCACACAGACACACACACATGCTCCAATTAGTGAGTTGAGCAATCGTGGTGTTGAATATCAGGACTTCACTAACCTGTTTGGTGACCTGACTGGCCATCTTTTCAGTAAAGTGCTTGTGCTGACTGATTCTGTGGAAGAGCTCGCCACCCTCCATCATCTCCATAACAATCAGGAGTCTTGCTCTTTCACAAAAAAGGGATTTATTTGGAAGATTATGTCAGGATAAAATAGATATGTAAAAATGTGTACAGGTTAAGAAAGAGGTGTCCAACGTGCGGCCTGGGGGCCATTTGCCGCCTTTGGATGTACTTTAGGAATGGTTTAAATCCAGCAAATGGAGCTGATGTAGATCAACTTTCTTTGTATGAACTTTTCAACAACAAATTTACATCTTCAATAGAAGATTTTAGGCACAAAACAAGTGTTTCTTTAATTAGACATGTTTTGTATTATTATTTTAATATAGGAGCCACAAATTTCCAGTGACTTTTTACTCAAAAAAAAAACTTAGTCACACTCAGTAATTAAATTTAGATAAACACAGTTAAGAGTTTTGAAAGAGTTCTCATTTTTGTTGCTGGGAATAAACTAAAATTGATTTCTTCACCAACAAGTTAGGAAACTAAAGTCTTTCCTGACCTTTTTTAATTCAAATACATGTTAATTTGTTGCTTATGAGGCAAAAAGAAAATAATTCACTATATGGTTATTTATAGAATTAGCATTTCTTACTGAAAACCTGGTAATTTTGGCCCACAGTACAAAAAGTTTGGACAGCCTGGGCTAAGCCATTATTACCTTGGACTGGACTCATGAGGGAACTGGACGGTGTTGGCGTACACCTCCAGAATTTGCACGATGTTCGGGTGCTTGGCACACATCATGTGAAGACGCACCTGCATAGAAGATAAATAATCTTACATCGAGAAGATGTTAAAAGAGCCAGAAATGGCTGTAAGTGTGTCACAGTCTGCATCTTCCTGTCAGCCAGCTTTCACGGTTCATCAGCGGGAGTCTGTGAAGCAAATCTCTTTTTTCAAGCTGCTTGATCAAAACAGTTTGCAGCTAAATGACATGATAGGGCTGTCAGACACACTGTGCGCTGCAGGAAGACGATGTTGGGGACAAAGACATTCTTCTAAACAGACCGAGGCTGAGAAGAGTGAATGGCAGGGAAAAGAAAAACAGGAATTAATCAAGACTGATAACAGGCGGAACAAAGCATACTGATACAGCCAGAGGCGACAAACAACAGGGATTAATCAGACCAATGACAGAGTCCCAACCTCATTTCTGGCCTTGGGGCGATCGATGAGGATTTTCAGGGCCAGGCGTTCCTGACTCGACTTCTTCACACACACCCTGAAAAGGAGGGAGAACAGAAGAGTCAACAAACAGGTTACGCAACATAACCCACACGGCAAAAAACACAAAATCTTAACAAATTATAGTTTCACTGGTAGAATATTTTATTATAGTTTCACTGGTAGAATATTTTATTCATAATATGGGGAAAATCTGTTGTAGTCAGTGGAACTAGTACTTTTTTACCAATATTACAGCGTTATTGACTTTAAACAAGCTCTGATATCCTGTTGAAATTTTAGTTTAATCTTATTTCAAGTGTACTAAGATATTTTCAGTAGAAATTAAACCAAAAATATTCTCAATTTTGCGTTTTTTCAGTGCAAACGTTTAGTAACCACATGGTTTATGTACAGAATTAATGCAGACGTTTCTGTACCTTAGTTAAATATCACCATATTGACTTTAAATCAGTGATGTGAAAAAGCATTCGACCCCTTACAGCATCTTCTGTTTATATTTTTGTCACTAAGATGTTTCAAATCAAATTTTAACAAATAAAAAGGATTAAAACTAAAGTAAAAAAGTAAAACTTGGTTGCAGAAATCAGCGTGAATGGCCTGTTTAAGGTTACGTCATTGCATTTCAATCATCTTTAACTCTTGACTTTGACTAGGCCACTTGCTTGTTCTCTTAATTTTCTGAGCCTTACAGAGGTGGATTTGCTGAAGTGCTTTGGATAATTATTCTGCTGCATAACCAAAGTTTTCTTGAGCTTAAGGAACAAACCGATAGCCAGACAATCTCACTTGGGATTTTCCGGTAAATCCAGAATTCATTTTCGCCTCAATTACAGAAATTATCCAGTTCCTGAAGAAGAGGAGCAGCCAGAGACCGTCAACACTGTTTGACTGTTTTGGTTTGTTGCTGAAATTCTGCTGATGTAGATCAACTTTCTTTCTTTTTGGAGATCTTTTAGCCTACTTCATGCTGCCAGGCAGATCCCATTTCTTGATTCTGCAAGCAGGGAATAATCAGTGTTTGTAGTGAGACTGAACTCTGCCCTCCAAACTGTGAGTAATCACGTTTAGGGTGGATGCATAACTGGGGGATAATCTTGTAATTCCTGTTGGACTCAAAACTGCTTTCTCCAGTCGTGAAAACATTTTTTTCTCCTTTATGTTTCGTAGTCTTTGTAAGTAAAAAAAAAAAGTGAATAGATTCAGAATCAGATTCAGTCAAAACTGTAACAGGCAGATGAAACTAAAAGAAAACTGGAGATGAGTGTCAGCAATGAAAAGCCTCATTGGTGCATCTTCACTTTTTTTCCATTCAAAAACAACTTTTGTCTGTAAATATGTTATACCAAGAAATTCTCAAGAGGTATAGTTCTTCTTAGCTTCACCTGGTTCAAATTATTTAAAATAATGTTCTATTAAGCACCTTTTTCTATCCAATTATTAATCTATTAGTAAAAAAAATAGTCAGCCCTACACTGTATTGATGTTAGAGAAGACTGAGCTTTTCACATGTTGATGTTGGAAGTATTTGTTTCAGTGTAAAGCTTATAGATTTATATGGAAGACACATTTATCTGTGGCTGTTTTTCACACATCTTGTAAACAAACTCACTTTGTTTACAAGATTCACGGCAACCTCTGACCCTTGAACCCAGACTGCCCTATTAAAGAATTACCACAGGTGACATTCTGCTTTGCTTTGGCCGAAGGCCGTTCCTCTGAAGGCAGAAGTAGCCCACCTAATGAGTCACAGAGTTACACATTGGAGGGCTGTTGAGATTCAGGGCGGCGGGGGATTAAAGCAAAGCAAAAGTCATCAATGAATATCAGAACAAAGCACTGAGTCAGAAAACACACGACCGGATGACTGAGAGCGGCCCAAGAAAAGAAACCATGCAGGCTGAATCATAGCGGGTTTTTAGTCAGACACGATGAGGCGATTTCTCAGTTTTCTCATCACTTTATGCTAAAATGATACGCTTGTGAAATAACAGCTTGTCGTCTTTTGGTCTGAATCTGCGATAGCTTCGAAACGCAGAATGAACAGGAGTCAGAGCAAGATTTATGACTCATATCCTTCACATCTACATGGAAGCAAATGAAAAGCTTCGAAACAGCACACATAAAGACAATGACTGATTCAGTCTTTATCCTTTAAACGCTTCTAAAAGCACAGGGCGGTAATCACAGAAGAAGATAAGTGTAGCTCAGAGCGTGTGGGTTAATACGTACAAACATGTTTATTTGCGCAGTAAGAATTTCGACTACACGGTTACGTATTGAAGCAGGTAAAAGTTTAGCTTTGGATTGAAGCCCAGTAACCTTTAGGATGTGACACTGTTGTACCAAACACAGCAGGACTTAGACAACGCAGACAGCGAGAGGAGAAGACGACATACGGGGCACAAACAAACCCTGGTTTCATAAACCCCTCGAATCTTCCTTGCCCTTTTTGTTTAATAATTTTCATTTTTCCTGCGCAAGGAAAAATAAAATGCAAACATCTTTAATGTGTGGGAAGTATTTTTTGGCAGCAGAGATTGTTTGTCCAGGAATCACAACAGTTTTTTTCCACAGTAACTGCAGAGTCTGCAGTGTGAAGCAACATGTAACTCTTAACTCTCACCACAGCACGAGAGTTTTGATTAATCGGTTATTAAATGCAGTCGGTTCAAACTGATGATCAGCAGCAACAAAGATTAATTAATCTGACTCTATATAAGTAATTTAATCCCCAGTTATCTTTATAGACTCCTCATTAGATGAATAAAATGGCAGAGAAATGCTCACCTGACAGGTCCGCTGATTCCAGCTCCCAGCTTCTGTGTCCAGTTTATGATGTATTCATCCAAGATGGACGCCTCCTGTTTGAAAAGCAAACCAGGATGTCAATCGTAATCCATTATTCAGCAACAGCATTGCAATTACAAGCTGCAGTGCAAAAACTCTCCTTATAGCATTATAAATGAATAAATAAATTTACTATGAGAGGTCTTCTGTAACCTTGTGAGACTGACTGAAGCAATGAATAAATGTTTACTGATGATTTCCAAACTGATTACTATTTGTTTGTGTTTCTCAAACACATAAACAGTCAAAAATATTATTTGATTGACTCTACTGAGTTTGATAAACTCAGATAAAGGTAAGATACAAATCCTGTTTGTTGTTGGACAGAAAAGCACCATCGCTATCATATTTTCTGGTTGTTAACTGTTATTGTTGATGAAAAAATAATCAAGTTTACACAAATTAACTTGTATGTGTTTAGTCCTTCAATGAATGAGTCTCAGCAGAAATCAAGACCAGCAGGCCGTGATTTGAAACTAAATTGGAAATCTGTACCAGCTTGTAAAAGCCTGATCTGCTCAGCTGTAAATTTTAGTTTCTGTTAGTCGTTTCATAGTAGATTTTTAAAATTCAGTTGACAGATTACAAGTGGTATAAATGATTGACAGCCCTAATCAGAGCTCTGTTCATTTCTCCTCTGCAGCCCTACGTTGTGTCATAGTTAAATTTACTTTATCATTCGTCTAGTGTTATCCTAAACACAAATTATTTCCAGACAATGACAACTTGGCTGCCAAAAACAAACACATCACAAAGATTAGACTCTGCTGCCAACACAGAGGATTAGGGAGGTGCTCTGAAGGAACGACTGAAATTGAGAGGATAATCTGAGTTTGGACTTAAATTCTATGCAAATATTTTTTTTTAAAAACAATCCCATTAAATGATTAGTTGTTTCATCTTCCTGTCAATATGTTAATCTTAGCAACTGGAACTCATTTTTACTGCCTTTGCAATATGAATGCCCTTTGAAGTCAGTTTTTCATGGAAACGGGCTGATTTTCAGCTTTCTCGGATGTTTTAAGATCAAAAATACAAACTTTTTTCTTTACCCTTATCAGCTACCAGGTCAGGTCCTCTGGATGCCGGTAGCGAACCAAGTTAACTATTTTCTGCATCTGTGAGGTTTTAAAATTAAGTGAAAGGAATATTTAAAATATCTGAATAGAAACTGTATTTTCTACCATATGTTTAGTTTATGTATGCAAGAGAGTCTTACAGAGCAAGATTTAAAGCAGATAACAAGAAGGCTGAACGTATCACAGGAGCAATGCTCCATTTTATCAGTCAGCCTGTTCCTGCTAGGGAACATGATGGATTTGGAAAAGTTGGTGGCCTTAAAAATTAAATAGCTTGCTTTTATGTGCATCTTTGTGTTTCCATTGGCCGGTCACATTTGTGTGTGAATTTCTTAACTTTGGTAGGTTTTGGTAGGCCACTGTTTTAGATTAAATCTATTTGTGGATATTAGCTCTCTTGTTGTGTTTAGTTTTTCCAGATTGATACATGCCACTGACTTTGCTTTACATCTGATTTTGAATTTCTATCAATCAGGGCATGATTTTTAAAAGATATTTTTGCCTATGTTTTGTTGTCAGAAAATCCTACAGGTCTGGCCTGGTATGATAAATGACATTAAACTCAGCTTTCCAAAAGATTTCATTAATTCATAACTAAACAGCAACTCACCATTTGAAAACAGTCTTCTGTATTTACAATTGTTTTCTTGTCTGGTTTTATTAGTAGTTTATTAACCTTATGTGTCAAAAAAGCAATAATAGAACAAATCTGTAACAGGATAAATAGTTATTTAGTCCCTGGCCAAATTAGTATCTCAAAGCTCTAGTACTCTGTAGATAAGAACCACCACAAAAACAAAGGTGAACCAGAAAATGATCTATTTTTCCACTATTTCTCCTAAAAAGCATTTTTGACTTTTACTGCTGGATCAGATACTAGTGTCCAACTCTACAGCAGATGTTGATCATGTACTAAACTTTTTTATTATTATTATTATTTCTAAAAGCAACACTGAGATGTATCTGCTATCAAATGCTCTATCAATGCAGCATTATTTCGGTAATTTTAAACCAAATGTTTATAATGAAAATATGTAGAGATTAGTATCTGATAAGACACCAGCTGTCACTAATCAGCACTTCCTTACCTTAATGAACTTTTCTGCATTGTTGTCCTCCGTCATGGTGCGCAGCTCCTGGAAGTCTACGAAAGTTGGAAATAAGTCGCTTACTCTGATCCCTTCGCAAAGTTTCGGTCTCCCTGGGCAGAACCGGGGCTCGTTATATCACCACTAATGACAATATAAGCCCATCACAGCAAAATGTCACCCGGCCACCGATCAGCCGTAGCCGAGTGTGGTCCGCCGGGAGACCTGAAGCCCAGCACGTCAGATCAGGCCAGCTCGGCTCACAGCCTCGGGGTCCGACTCGCTCTTCCTCTTGTCCTGAACCCGCTGTGGTGACCATGTAGAGCGTCAAACTCCGAGCAAGGTCACCAGAAAAAGAAAGCCGAAGACGGGAGTCAAACGTGGACCAAAGCCGAGCAGCTTCGGTGGCGCAGTGAGCGATATTTTTAGCCCCCGAATACTGACTCGGTCACTGTTAGCTCTGAAGCTAACAACACAGCCGTCTGCTTGCCGATTTTACAGTTTGTCCAGTTGATTATAAAAAAGCAGACATGGGGACAGGTCTTAATAAAGAGAGATATTTTTAAAATGACTATTATACAGGAACACCTGGGGGGCTGATACGACACAGCGAGCACAGCGCGTTCCCAACGGCTTGTGGCAAAGAAATAAGTTAGTTTTCTAGCCCTGCTTTAAGACAGAAATGTTATCATTCTTCATCAGAACAGTACATGGACACTGGAAGATACTACGGCCTAATATGTTCGGTGAAGCAGGTCAACCGGTTCTTTTTTCCAGCGGAGGTCCAGACCATCTCTGGACTATTTGGTTAATTCCATAACCCCAGACGGCACTCAATAGGAGTCCACACAGAACGCCTGAGGAAAATTAATACCAACTGTGCTGGTTGTTGTCTGAAATTGAAACAACATATATCCTCAGTCTGTAAGTCGATAATTTTTTCTGTGTCACATAAATTTATCGTATTATATGTATTTATTTATAGAATAACTTCACTGGTTGTTTTTTGGCATGTGCGAGGGTTCCTTCATAAAGACCCAAATTTCAGTGCGCATTCAAGTTTACATTCAAGGGTTAATTAAATGTTTATTGCAGTCTGAACTCAAGTCTATTTATTTATTTGTTTAACAGTCAGTCACAACAACAATGTTGTTTTAAATCCTAGAATTTGAAATAGTAAAAATTGATGAGTTACCAAAATATGAGTAGCCAGTACTACAGTACCCTATCAAGAAATTACTCAAGTAAATAAAGTATTCTAAAAGAGCTAGTACTGAGTAACTGATCATAATATCTAATTTAATATTTATAAATTATATATAAATACCCTGCTCTGGTAATTTATATGTGTA